TCAGAGCAAATGCGTAGAGCACCGAGCTGAAAAACAAAGTAGTGAGAGGCTGTGTCCATCTTGTGTTTACAGTCTATGCTTTGCCTATTGTCCCTAAAGCCAATCAAAGCCACCTCTGCTGACCCACGGCTGCAGAAACAGCAGAAGTGACAGTGTGGAGGGTTCAGTTAGTGTGTGTCTGCTGATAAGTGTCAGCCTGCAAGCTGTCAATAAATCTTTACTGAGGATTGAACGTGAGTCTGTTCAGTAAACAACCTGCAGTCTGGAGAGATTAGAGGATTACATCGTGCTGCAGGTTCCCGTCCAGAGCTCCGGTGTCGCCGCCCGCTGCCTCCAACACGTCTGGAGCTCCGGTGGAAACGAGATTGCGGACAGCAGCGGCGATTTGTATAAAAGGTGCCGCTGCTCGCGTTGTCGTTGTGTCGCTGTTTATGAGAACATGTTAAAAACCCCACAGAGCAGCAGAGCGCGCCGCCGCCTCCACATCAGCACGTTTACCTGATAACAGGTGAGCACCAGCCCTCTGTTTTCATTCACAGCCCACCTAACACTGGATTTGTCTCGTTGCCTTTGAAAGAGGAACACCAGCCGGCAGCTCGTCTTCAAAGTGCCGAGTGCAGCTATGTGCGGCCTGGTTGGTTCCCACAGACGTGAAACAGAAATCCACAGACGCTGGAAGTGGTGCAGAACGATGACCTCGTCTTGTGTGGTCATGCAAACCTGATTCGATAAACAAGATAAACCCATAAAAAGTTTCATCCATCCACAGGCTCTTCTGATCATCTCACACGCCTGGAAGCTGAAAGTGGACTCAGGGCCACAGGTGGTGTGTGTGTCAGGCAGACAGAGGCTTAGATCAGTCTCGGGTTGGTGGTTTGATCCAAGGTTTAGCTCACGTTTACCCAGCATCAGATTGGATGAGCTCAGTCTGAGTCTGCTCACAAACACGCCTGCTGGCGGTCGTCCGATTGTTTCTGGGTGGTGCCTCAAAGCACCGAGGTGACCGTTGGTAGGATTTGATGCTATATAAATAAAACTGCAGTGAACTGTATGTCTGTGATGGCATACAGGCTGTGCCCAGGAGTGCATCTGAAGGAAACTACTTCCTGTTCCTAAGTACAATACAATACAGTTTTATTTATATAGCACATTTAAAAACCCGAAGGCTTCACAGTAATACGGAGAAACAACATAAGTCAATAACAGAGTACAGATCGGGCACCAGCACAGACAGACTGGAGGCACTAATAGAACAGAAGAGTTAAATAAAATAGGCATCAAACCTCAATACAGAGGGAAGGTCAGATCGTGAATACAAAATATCTACGAAGACAAAAACTGCAGTAAAATTAATGATAAAATAATACATTTAATAAAAAGTGTAAAAAGGGTATTAACTGGTCAGGAAAGCCAGGTTAAATAAGTATGATTTCAATCTTGATTTAAAGGACTGGATAGAGTCCGAGGCTCGAATAGAAGCAGGGAGGCTGCAAAGGTTGGGTGCAGCTGAAGCAAAGGGTCTGGTCTTCAGTCTAAACTTGGGTTGGTGATCTTAATGTACGACAAGGAGTGTGCAGCTTGAGGAGGTCAGTGAGGTAACTGGGCGATTTTAAACTCAATGCAATATTTGATTGGTAAACGATGTAAATCAACAAGAGCCAGAGTGATAGGAGCAAATTTTCTAACTCCAGTAAGAAGGCGAGCCGCAGCATTCTGAACGAGCTGCAGCTTTCAAATAGAGATGGATTGGAGACCTCAGTAGAGAGAATTGCAATAATAAGAAATATTGTATTTTTCAAATATGGAGCCCAAGGGTTCTCAAAGTGAGAGAAGGTGGACATGCACCCTAAAACCAGAACAGGATTCAGCACAAGAGAGTGAGAAGCCTTCAGTAATAAAACGTTTCCACTAAAATGATTAAGAAATTGCTCACAGAGAGCCTGAGAGGCCGAACTCGACGATCCAGGACAGGGATTTATCACGGAGTTAAAAATGTTGAATAACATTCGGGGGTTGTGGCTGTTAGTCTCAGTAATATCTGATAGCAAAGCTGCTTTAGCTGCCTTTACGGAGTTCTGGTAGAGAGAGCAGCTCCTACAAAGAATCGTAGGATATCTGAAGCCTACCTTTCTTCCACCTCCTTTCAGATTGACGGCGGACACATCGTGAGGCTCGTACAGTGTCATTTAGCCGAGGTCGAGTAGTTTCACGTGTGTCTTTAGATGCTGAATATGACTTCTGCTCCTCGTCAGGCTCTCCGTATCGAGACGAGATCACTCTGGGAATACTGCAGCTGCAGGAGAGCAACAGGCTGGAGATCCTGAAGAGACGCTGGTGGGAGGGAGGACAGTGCCCCAAAGAGGAGGACCACAGGGCCAAAGGTCAGTGTCATCGTAACGTGATCATTTAACGTAAAAACATCATTTCCTGTTTGATGGAAAGATTCCTGCCTAGGACACAACCGTGCTCCTCGCTCATGTCAGTGAAGTCTTACCATGATGACACGTAAACAGGAAGTTTTTATCAGGCGTCTCCTTTCCTGTGCCGCCTGTCTTTTCCTCATTGATATAACAAATGACTTTGTCCTCCGCCTTCGCTGTTTTGACCCACGTGTATTTGTCTCCTCCTTCTGAGGCGTCTCACGCCAACAAACAGGTTTGATGGCATTTTTCACACTCAAAATGTAGTTTTAGTGTCAGGGTTACAATTAGGTTATGGTTAGGTTTAGGTCAAGGGTCAGGGTTAGGCATTCATTTTTGATGGTCAGGGTAAGCTGCTAGCGAAAGCATTATGTCAAATGAGACACGCACGTGTGTGTGTCTGTGTGCTGGCTCGTAGTTTGTGTTAAAGATGCTGACACGTGTGTAACCGCCCTGAAACCTCAAACAGCGACGAGCTTCGTCTTTTGAAGCGTGCTCGTTTCAGGGCTGAAGCACGGGCTGGATTTGAAGGACTCGTTTTTCCGTGGCGACCGTCAGCTCGTCTGACTGCGACCTGTTTCTTCACGTGAAGAACAGCAGACGTGCTGCTGCAGCTTTAGCGCTGACACAGGTGCTGCTGGCAGTGTGACGACCTGACGGAGACGCCTGAAAGAGTCCGAGACTTTGGTAATACTGATGGTGTGTTTGACACAGGCGTCAGGAGCACCTCGTCCCACAGGGAGAGGAGAAGGCTTCTGTGCGAGTGTCCTCATGGTCCTGAGCGGTCCTGAACAGGTGACGCTGAGCCTCGGTGGGATGGCCGATGTAAATATCGGTTGTTTTAAGCCTGGCCTGTTGTTGCTGATGGAGAGCGCGCTGTGTTTGGAAACAGTCCTCAGGCTGGTAGACAGGTGTAGGTGAATCGATCTGTGATGTGTCCATCGCTGCGTTTCAGGGCTCGGCATGGAGAACATCGGCGGGATCTTCGTGGTTCTGATTTGCGGTCTCATCATTGCCGTCTTCGTGGCCATCATGGAGTTTGTGTGGTCGACACGCCGCACCGCCGAGACGGACGAGGTACACCATCAAACACACACACACACAGATAACACTGGGCAGACGTGAACACTGCAGAGCATCTGTACACTGATACAAACGTGCTCAGGTCTTAACCGCGAGCACAGACTCTCTTTGCCTGCAGACATCAGCTCACACACTCTGTATGACAAGAGCAAAATCCTGAGGTCATTTAAAAACTTCCATCAACAGATTACAAATATTCAAAAGAATAAAACGACACATCTGAGCGGTGCTGGAGCAGGAGGGGCAGTGAACCACCAGCAGCCGTCAACATGAGACTGAAAAACACATTTAAGTTGATGTTTTTTAACCAGCTCCTGCCAACACAATGAGCTGCTGCTGCCACCTGCTGGTGTTACACCTCCACAAGGTCAAGTTTATTTATACTGCACATTTCCAAACAGTCAATGCTGCGCAAAGTGCTTAACAATGTAAAATACCACTAAAACAAATAAAATATAAAACAATGATGCAGTAAAATATAGAAAAATAAATAAATAAATAAATAAACAAGTCAATAAAAACAACTAAAACAACAACTAAGGCTGTTAAAACCCAAATGTTTGGGTTAAAGTGGTGTTAAAAGCCAGACCATAAAATGTGTATTCAGTAGCGAGTTAAATTGATCAAGTGTTTGTGCACATCTAATATTTAAGGGAAGACTATTCCAAAGTCCTGGACCTGCCACAGAGAAGGCTCTGTCACAATGGGAAGTTTAGTCCGTGGATAACATGGTTTTCTCTGGAGCATAAATAAATATGAGCTCAGGTGAGAAGTACGAGTTTAAATTGGACCCTGTAAGGAACAGGGAGCCAGTGTGGAGACGCTAAAACTGGGGTTACATGCTCCTAACATTTAGTGCCAGTTAGCAGACGAGCAGCTGCATTTTGGACCAGCTGGAGACCATAAAGAGAGGCCTGGTCCAGACCAAAGTTTAGACCAAAGTCCAGACCAAAGTGCAAAGAATTGCAGTAGTTCAGTCTGCACGTAACAAAGAGAAGGTGCAGCTCCAGGTCCACTGCATCCTTTATTCCCAGCAGCTGTTAGACAGCCTCCATCAGAGTGTGAAGGGTGTAGCTGGGGTTTGGGGGGGCTCCATCAGAGTGTGAAGGTGTAGCTGAAGTTTAGGGGAGGCCTCCATCAGATTGTGAAGGGCGTAGCTGGAGTTTGGGGCCTCCATCAGATTGTGAAGGGTGTAGCTGGGGTTTGGGGGGGGCTCCATCAGAGTGTGAAGGGTGTAGCTGGGGTTT